TCAATTTTAAGTTGCAAACTGTATATTTCTAACTGTGGGAAGCCACCAGAGCAGGATTCTTCCTTGTCCACACCCTTGACATCTATGCAGGACAATTCTTCTTTGTCATTGCTGGCCTGAGACTTGTGAGATATTTAGCAGCATCCTTGGCCCACAACAAATGAGTAGCATACACAAGCTTCTCCCCAGGGTTGTGACAGCCAACAGTGCCTCCAGATATTGGCACATATCCCTGCTGGGATGGGGCACAATCTCCCCAAGTGAGATAAGAACCCCAGCTTCGGTGTCTTTCCAGAAGGTCAGAGTTGAGAGAAGGAGGGGCTTGTTCTAGGGGCTAAGACGTTTATTGGTCTTTAAAACAGGGAGGTGCTGAGCACGTTTAGAATGTAGCTCCAAGAATAATACACTTGCTGGTGTATTTGGACCCTTCAATAGTCAGGATGTCTCTTTTTCTGCAGTCAGTGTGGGGGTTTTTTTTGGTTGTTTTGTTGTTGTTGTTTTGTTTTTTTGTTTTTTTAAGGTAGCCAGAGAGAGTTTGAAAAACCTTCTGTGAGAGATTTAAAATCAGAAGAAAACAGCAGCCCATGCAAGCTGCCTTGCATTTCATACCAGCACTGGCCTTTGGATCTGAAGGCCATGTGTGTGCTGTGAAGGGAAAGTCCTGAGTGATCAAGGAGCTCCTCCACTGCCCCAGGATTTGCCAGATACCAGCTGCTCTGCTGACAGACTCCCTTGTTCTCATGACTTGAGAGGCTTCCTAAGCTTACAGAGGACAGGTGGCTGGCCACTGTCTGTGACCTGACTACCCTGAGCCACAGATTCTTTTGTCTCTTCTCTTCTGCAGCCTTCTGACTACCTCTACCTTGCTGTGACAGGATCTCCTGGAAGCTGGTTAGAAATGTGGGTTTCTTCAGGCACCACCACCCTGAAGTTTGCCTCAGTGGGTAGAGACCAGGAACTTAGACCAGTGTCCTCCTGTGGGAGATGAGAGGTGAACCAGGGATGACACTTAAAGAAGCAGTGCACTAGAGGGTCCTTTTCACTTTCAAAAGCAAAAGCACATGCATTCTGTTCTGCCCAATTCACTTATGCTTACAGAAGGCCTAGGGATGGAAGCCAACGTGCCAACCCTTGTAGGGCTCATGTATCTAAGGGAGATGGCAATAATGCAGAGATTGACCATGAAACCACCAGTTATATGCAGCAAATTTGTCTTCTCATAATCACAATGATTAGGTGTGCCCCATGGATCAGTATAGTAAGCTTATTATTAATTGGAGCTTATACTTCTTTAACTTAGTGTTTTATCTTTCCACATTTACAGTACACCCACAGCAAGGGCACCTCCACCCTTAGTATTTCTAATGTAAATTACTTAAGCTTTGTGCTTTGAAACATGCCATGGTAGGTCTTTTTTCTGTGAAGCTCCTGAAGGGCCACCTGGCATCACCCATGGCATCACCCATGGCATCACCTGCACATCTTCAGTCCCTTGAGACCACAGCTGGAATTGGGAACTTCCTTACAGGGTTTGTTCTAAGGAGGTTCATCCTCCAAGGCTAGGTTATTCAGCTTGTCCTCATCTTTGACTTTGGGTCACGTCTTTCAGGCCTTGCCCCCAGATTTGTCCACCTCAGTCTTTTCTTGGCCACATCTTCAAGTCCTTTTTCTTCTTGTCATCCTTGGGTCGTGTCATAAGTGTGAGCCTAACAAATGCTTCAGTTGTACTAGGATGTGGGATAATAGGAAATACTTCTCATGAATAGGTCCAGAATCCTTTTCTTGCAGCTAATATTTTTGAGTACTTCCTGTGCCTCAAACATTGTGCTTGTTAATCATACAGTAGTGGTGAACAGTACCTGGTCTTGTAGGGTAGATGGTATACTGATTGCCTTATTCCACACAGCAGCCTCGGGAAGCAAGGTGCTCTTCTTATTTTATGGGTAAGGGAAGGAGACATGGAGAGGCTAAATGTATGCAGCCTGTCTGAGAACACAGCTGTTCACTGGCAGAGCTGAGTTGGTCTTGGGTCTGTGTGGGAAACTCTGAAAGCAGGAAGCCACCAGCTCACACAGCGGCGTGCCCTTCTCCCAGCATGCTGTTGCTTGTTGCCTGCTGCTGAGGGGCAGGTGTGGTGGCAGAGAGCAGTGTCAGAAGAAGCCAAGTTTGTCCTTTTGAAAAAAAGACTCTCAGGAGTTAGAGGGCCATGGCCTCCAGGCTGTTGTTAAATTGTGACTTTCCTGGTTATAAGAAAGCTTTTCTCTATATAACGGGTGTGCTCTCAATTCAAGTAAATTCTCCAAGGAGGCACCATTTGAGATTTATCTCCCTCTCTAGGTCTATAGATCTTTTTTTAATAGGTTATATATAAAATTGATTCTGTTACAAAGAAATATAACACACATTACCGAGAAGCGGCATTCTCCTTTAGCTTCAGGGTGGCATCTCTTAGAACAGAATTCTCAGCCCCGGCATCAGAACCCACCAAGAGCATCCTCAACCTGAAGAAGCTTCCTAGGCCAGCCTCCCATCCCTTCCTAATGATTATGACTCCCTGTCAGCCTGGAGAGACCCCTGGGCATGGAGTGTGTTTGTGTATGTCTGAGTGTGTGCGACACGTGTATATGCATGACGTTCTAATTCTGAGGTGTGGTACTAGTAATAACCCTCCCAAAGATGCAGTAGGAATTACAGAATCAGCTCCTAAGAATTCTCCCTGAATATGCTTGAGCTGAATCTGAACTTCTTAGAGCTAACTTCCTATTTCTGTGAAACACAATAGAGGACAATTTTAAGTGATATCACAAAGAAATAGTTAAATTCAAGTTGTTGGATATTCTATACAGGCCTAATATCTTCAAATAGTCAATACCAGGGGAAAAGTAGGAATGGGTAAGGCAGGCAGGGAGGAAAGACAAAGCCTGTCTAGAAATTAATCAAATGCAATTTATAAGCCTTGAGTCAGGGTTTTAAGAAAAAAATAATTATAAAAATGGAACAGGAATGGCACAATTCGAGTGGCTTTGGATGTAAGTAGACTATTGTTTTTCTTGGGTGTATTAATTTTCTTGTAGTTATGTAGGAAAATGTCCTTATTTTAGGAAGTATGTGCTAAAACATTTAGGGATGAAGTAATTAGGATATCTCATTTTCAAATGGCTCAGGAAAAAAGTATATGTATGCTGTGGATCGGGGTGGGGGGGAGGAAAACGTTAACAAATGTTGAATCTTGGTATTGGGCGTTTGGTGCACATTTTCAGTTCTTGTCAGTTTATATCTCTGTTTGAAATTGTGGTAGTAAAGTTGAAAGCAGACCCAAGGTGAGTAAGCAAGGTAGCCTTCCCTTACCTGTTTTCTAGTTTGCCTCTTCTGTAAAGCTGGGAGTGTAGGCCTTGATTCAGCATTGATTGAGGTCTCTGATTTTCCAGCACCTTCTGGGTGGAGATGAACTTTGTTCCTGGGTAATCTGGGCAGCAGGCACCATCTGGTTCTGGTTTTGAGAGTACTTTCTTTGTGTACTTTCTTCTTCTGGTAGGAAGTTTCGAAAGGTGGAAGGCCCTGTGTGCACAGCCCAGCTCAGTTTATCTTTCTTGTATAGTTAGGGCTTTGTGCAGGATGTGACTGTCTGCACTTAGAAAGTCCTCCTTACTCTCCATTCTGACGATGGTATTATTGTAGGCTCCTGTGTGAGTCTCATCTTTTTTCCCTAGGAGGTTTACATTGTGGGCCTTTGTGACAGTTGTAACATATTTTCTGAGAGGGCTGATAAGATGACTCACAGTCATTGGGCATCTGATCGTCATTGGGCCTCTGATCAGAATGTCAGGTGTCCCTGAGGGGAGATATATTTAGTGGGTTTTTGGTGGCTGGTTTACAAGGGAGTGTGGGGACAAGAATGGCAGTTGGTAGCATTGAGTGCCCCTGCTGAGGAGTTCTGAGCCTGGAGCCCCTGCAGTTAGCAAGGATCTATAATGAAGATCTATTTCCCCTTTGACAGGCATGTTGTCTCAGCAGGTGCCTGCCTTTCTGTGCATTTTGCCACAGAGCACAGTCCACTGTAGAAGTCCCCTGCTGTGTTCCCAGATTCTCCCTTGTCCTGCTACCCTGAGGACTTTGTGTGGAGCCTGGGAAGCTGAGGAGTGAGTTAGTTGGCCTTGAGTATCATGGCAGTCCTCTAATAGTGGCAGCTTAAGTGAATGTGTCTGTAAATAAGCCTGTCTTAAATTTCACCCGGACCATTTTACTAAGTTTGCAGCCCTGAAGTTACACAGCCTTCCTCTTCAGAGATTACATCCTACTCACACTCTTGACTCGAGCAGAGTCTGCTGTCTACTGCAGAGCCATTGATATACAAGTCAAATGAGAGTTTGTAGCAGAACCCCTCAGTTCAACATGGGGACAAATACATATATTCACAAGGTTATATGTGATCGTATATTCACTTTAAGTAAAAGAGGGGCAGGGATGGAGATGGGTTGGATGTAATAGTAAGTTGATTTTCTAATCAAATGGAGAGGCTCTGCAGAGGCATCTACTCCTGACACCCTGGCAGGTACAGCCTCCTAGAGCCTCATCCAGCATGATTATTTTCAGTATAAACAATCTCCTCTGAAACACTTGTTTTTCAGAAGGCTTTTCTATTTAGTATTTGGAAAGGGATGCTTGGGAGTAACACCTGTGTTTGGGCTTAATGTTAATCTGTTCTCTCCAGTTGAGTTTGGTAGTCTGGTTCAGGTAATGTAGAAGCACAATGTGAGATCAGGCCCCTTCATTGAAGTCCACCAGGCAAGCTTTAGATGCAAGTGAGTACTCCATCATCTCTCAATAGCTTGTGTTTAGTCTTTTCATCATCATGCTGTGGCTGGGCCTCTGGCTTACTGAGCACCTCAACTGGTTAAGTTCTTGTTGGATCATGGGTGTTAAGGGTTGGGGAAAGCTGCTGAGGGAGAGCTGTTGCTGCTTATTGAGTGCCTACTAAGACAGGTGCTGTGCTTTAACAGGTTCCTGCTGATCTCTTACCACTGTCTCGTCTACATTGCAATCTGAAGTAGAGGCATCCTTGCAGTCTCTATGCTGGTGGTAAATGAAGACACCCTGAGAAGTTACATATCCATATGGCCAGGCAGTGCTGGAGCTGGCTCTGGAACCCACATCTGAGGGACTCCAAAATGTTCTCAGTGGAACATAACACCTCTCCCTTAGCCAAGTTCAGCACAGCCTGACAATTTTCGCACATATGTAGTCAAGTATAATGAAGGCTGTCCTCAAAATAGCATCTTGAGTGAAAACAGTGACAATTCGACTTTTCAATACATCATGTTTAATCAGATGAGTACAGTGATTGCTGACTAGTGTGTCAGCCAGTAGGCAGAGGCTGGTGTGTGGTAAAATGACCAGCAGGCATTTTAAGTTTTGACACTGACTTCCTTATTTCCCTATTTCCTTCCCTCTTCCATAACTCCCTGCCTCATCCAAGCCCAGCATGCCAAGGCCCTTTTTGTAGTTCTCATGGAATTGACATGACCTCGGTTAATGAGATGGAATCATTCAGAACAGGCCATATGCCCAGATGTCAGATGTGAGCTGCTTGATCCTGCCTGACCTTGGAGAGGGACAGAGAACTGGGGGCTGCAGACCAGAGGTGCCAGCCCTTGATTCAGGGTTCAGGCTCTGAAGGAGGGTTGAGCCATTGGGGCAAAGTCCTCTGATAATGAAGTCATGTGTCCTCAGGAGCAGAATAAGCTCTCTGTGAAATCAGAAACAATGGGCATGTTGAGTCCCAGACCTGGGGTGAACTGAAGCTTAGGCCGAAGCACATGAGATGAATTGGGACAATTCAAGGGATGCTTTTTTCAAGGACAAGTTTCTGTTGTCTAAAAGTGGACCCAGCTCTAATGATAGCCAGTTAATGGTTTTAATGTGCCATTTTGAATAATTTTCTCAAGTCATGAACTCTTGAGTTTTGCTTAGCATAAATTATCTTATGTAAAATAATGTGAGAAACGGATGGAAAACAAGCTTGGATAGCCACGTTTATGCTTTCTCTTCGAATTATTTCCTTTTTACTTATTCACCTAGATGCAAGTACTCTGCTGATAATCCGATTTCAGGCAGTTGTTGAAGGTAGTTTCAACAGCAACTACTAGCAAAAACTATCGGTGCAAGTTTTTGAGAACTTAGCTTGTGCAGAGTAGTGGTCAGTACCCCACGAACTTTAGAAGTGGGTAGCCAGAGCGTTGACACAGCCCCCTGGCAGCCGTGCCCCATCTCTGTGCTGTTGGCTGCTGGGGCAGTGTCTCCTGGAGCTGGTGCCCCGCAGAGCGTGGAAGCCAGTAAGGTCCCCCATCGCCCGGAGGCAACGCTGAGTGTGTGGCTGGGAAAAAGTAGAGACAAAGACACCCAGAAAAGGGCTGCCGGCTTGCTAGCTGGGACGAGGGCATGCAGCACCGGGGTCGGTTGGGACTGGGAACTCGGGAGAGCTGGGCGCCGGAAGGTGGGCGGGGAGGTGG